GGGGGCATATAGACGAACTCCCAAAATGCAATGGGAGTGCCCCCGCACATACCCCCTGCTCCCTGCACATGCGTGTAAGAGTCCCCCACATGTGCCCGCCTATACGCATGCAGGGCAGAGACCCGGAGACCAGCTGGCCGGCAGGAGGCACACACACATGCATGGTGGAGCTGGGCTGGGGGCAACAGCCGGCGTGCCAGGCAACATGGCTCCATATGCCACTTTGGGCATGCGTGCTATAGGTTTGGCATCACGGGTATAGGGTCTCCAGAGGAGGTTGGACTAGATGACCTATAAAGTCCTTTCCAACTCTGTTGTTCTGTTATTCATTTGCATGATCTTCCAGGGAAAGAATAAATAATCTTTCCAGGCATTCTCCTCTGCCATCTATTCTGTCTCTTCTTGGTAACTGCTGTGTCTTCCAATTGTATCCTTCACTGTGCACTAATATACTATGGATATAACATAGTTCGGGGCAAGTTTCCCTTCTCTGGATTCATAAATGTCCACCTGCATATTCACATATAAATAAAAGGAAGATGTTCACCAACAACAGCAAAATTAATATTTTGCTCAAAGTCTCTAGTCCTCGTGTTTCCTGAGAACAGTGCTAACACAATGTGGGTATTTATTTAAAAAGCCTAAAAATTAGAGCAAAAGCAATCATAGTACTTGTGCACTGCTTCTGTAATCTATCTAATATAAATAATATAAATTGGATATTAATAAGTCAGTTTTCATAATTATTTCAATGATTTATTACTGTTACTATTATTTTGGTAGTTTTTTATTGGAAAAAAAAGTACAAATAAAATAACAAATTTGTTCTACCAACAGTCTGGTACCTTTTGAATTTCAATTACAGAGGTTTCTTTCTCTGTATGCTTTTTCAATCAACTATAGGTTTTTTTTTAATTTACAGTGATAAAGCTTGTTTAAGTATAATTTTAGTACTTGAGATGCCGTACTATTTATTTGGTAAGATAATTTAGCCTCTTTGAATAAAATGAAATAACACTAAAGTGGCTAAGAATATATTGAAGTTCAAAAGGATAATAATACTGTATTTCCCTGAAAATAAGACCCTGTCTTATATTTTTTTGAACCCTGAAATAAGCGCTTGGCCTTATTGTCATGCACTCAAAAGCCTGATTGGGCTTATTATCAGGGGATGTTTTATTTTGTGGGAAACAGGGTATATGCTATGACAATGTACACATATGTGTGAACCAAACAATGAGAAGGGTAGGACGGATTGGAACGCTGGGGGGATGTTGAAAATGCCAATGACAAACCACTTCCAAATTGTTGCCAAAGAAATCATAAGGATGTGTACATGAAGTCTCCTGGAGGTAAGCTCAATTGGAAGAATTATTTTAGTTTTTAAAGGTAGGAAGAGAATTCCAGAATGAAAGGCTTGAATGAGGAAAAAAAACTCACCCTCTCATACTTGAAATGTAGTTGTTAGTGGAAAAACGGGAAGAACTTGTGAGACCTCTGGAAGATAAACTCACCCTTACATGGAATTGCATGCTGGCTAGGCAAGTCCAATTTGTCATGACAGAGTTACATTATCTTGTGATGTCATCTAGATTGGTTTAAGCCTGAGGATCCGTGAGAAAGTGGGCGGTTTAGCTCCTCCATCATTGTATTGGATCCAGTGGTGGGTTGCCCCCGATTTGGACCAGTTCGCAAGAACCGGTAGTAAAACCGGAGGGAGGCCCCACCCACCACCCTGCCGATGTCCTCATCGGCAATCTGCATACACGATCCCATTGCAAACCGGTAGTAAAGGTAAGTAGAACCCACCCCTGATTGGATCCCTGTCCCAAACTGGATGGAACGTGATGGGAGAGTGAATGTGGATGGCGACCACTGCATTCTTTGGTAAGAAGGTTATGCTATCTACCTTGAAAGAGAAAGTAGAATGTTCCCTCTTCAAAAAGCTATCCCTTGACCTAATTATTCTGATCAACTATTGGCCTGTAGATTTAGGGGAAGTTATTGGAAAGTGGCAGGATTGCAGCTGCAGAAAACTCTTGCTGAAGGGTTCAAGCCTTGATAACTCTAGTTGATGATTATTGGAGGCATTAACTGGTATAAGCAAGATATCCTTTGGTTGGCTTGCAAGATTTAGGGTTGGTGGACACTTGTTGCAGTCCATTGGATGGAGAAACAAGGCTTTAAGTTATCCATGGCAAAAAAAGAGTGACTCTGGAAGCCTCCTGATTCTGGAAGTAACCCATGCTTAACTTTCGAAAAGTTTCTGCTTCCCTGCTTAGAACTCTAGTGTCATCCTCCTTACACATAAGAGTCTGAGGGTCATTCGTAGTCTTGTCACTTCTTGTATGGACTGCTGCAATTTATTCTACATGGACTGTCCTTGAAGGTCAACAAGAAGTGGTCTGGAGTGCAGCAGCCCCAGTACTAACAAGCACGGCCCGTTTCCTTCCTGTAATGCTACTGAGGACTTGTACAAGTTGCCAATTAGCTTCCAGGTGCAATTCGAAGTTATCTTCTTTATAGAGGCTTTGGGGCTTAGGATCAGGGTATTTGCAAGATTGGTTATTCTAAATGTAAAATCTACCCACCTAGTGAGGTCCAAGATAAAGGGCCTATTTCAGCTTGCCATGCTGAAGGAATGTCAACATCAGGGACCCCAGGGGTGAGCCTTCTTGATGAGTTTGACACTTGTCTCTGGAGCAGCTTATCTCCAGAGATAAGGATGGCCTCATCTCTGATACTTTTCTGAAGGGCAGTGAAAACAGGGCTTTTTAGGAGGAGTTATAGAGGAAGATGAAATATTGCTTTTCTACAGAAGTGATGACATGGGGCTGAATGGTTAAGATTGTTATTTTTTGCTTGCTTATTGGTATAGTCTATACTTTTATCCTTAATTGAATCATAATTACTTAGGTTTGGTAAGCTACTCGAAGTGAAAATATTGGATAATATGGAAGCTTATGTAAATAAGCAATTAATACACAAATAATGCTCTTCATTTAAACCAAGCTCTATCTTGTGTCCAACGAAGAGCCTTTTGACGTTTTAAAGTGTTTGACTTAACTCATTATTTTTGTGTCTCTATATCCAGCTTTGGGTCTGCTTTGCTAATAGTTTTTTGACTGATGTGAAAATGTTAAACTTCTCGCTGGCTTTTCAATAATGAAAAGTTATTTTTATGGAGATCTGCCTCCGACTTTTTTTTTTTTTTTTGCTTTTCATATTTATTGTTGTGGGGAAGATGAAGTCAGAGTTTGTTCTCTGATTTGACTAACCTGGCATCGACCCATGTTGGGATGCAGAGAAAAAACAGATCAGCTGTAGATAGAATAATCTACAATAATAATAATAACAGAGTTGGAAGGGACCTTGGAGGTCTTCTAGTCCAACTCTCTGCTTAGGCAGGAAACCCTACACCACTTCAGACAAATGGTTATCCAACAACTTCTTAAAATCTTCCAGTGTTGGAGCATTCACAACTTCTGGAGGCAAGTTGTTCCATTGATTAATTGTTCTAACTGTCAGGAAATTTCTCCTTAATTCTAAATTGCTTCTCTCCTTGATTAATTTCCACCCATTGCTTTTTGTCCTACCCTCAGTTGCTTTGGAGAATAGCTCAACTCCCTCTTTGTAGCAGCCCCTGAGATACTGGAACACTTTTATCATGTCTCCCCTAGTCCTTCTTTTCATTAAACTAAACATACCCAGTTCCTGCAACCGTTCTTCATATGTTTTAGCCTTCAATCCCCTAATCATCTTTGTTGCTCTTCTCTGTACTCTTTCTAGAGTCTCAACATCTTTTTTATATAGTGGTGACCAAAGGGGCACCAAAGGGAAATACAAGAGATGGGTCCCCTTCTCTCCATTCCTAAAGCAAAAGACTTGGAGATGGGACACCAAACGCCAGTTGGGTGTGAACTTCAGTCTTGGAGATGAGGTTTCCTCTACTTCATTTGAGGACAGCAAAACTATTCCACTCTAAGAAGGTGACATAGCATATATTAGAGTCATATGGCTTTCAGTTAATATTGTTCCTTTAAGCCACATTAGTGGCACTCACACAACCTAGCTACTGAATTTAACTATTTGGGGGCAGTTGAATCAGATATTGAACCATAAACAGTTGGATTTGTGCATCATGTCCAACTAACTGTTGTGGCCCGCCAATGCACAGGCACGCAGAGCTGCCAAAAGGCAGGAATGGCTCCTCAGGAGGAGGTCTCCTCAAGAGTAAGGCTTGGGGCTAATTGGCCACTCCCCTACCCTATTTAAGGAATGAGGATGACTGAGGCAATTTGCAGAAGACAACTTTGTTCATATTCTTTCACGTATTGACTCCAGAAACGTCTGATCGGCTCTTGCTTCTCTCTTGTCATTTTTCCTGCAAATTGCTTCTGGGCATTCTGCCAACCACAGTAAGCTTACGGTTATCTGAAAGACTGTGCCTCAGAATTGAGTTATTATTCCTTGGACTCTTGTCGGCTGTTAATGATGTTAAATTAAGAGCCCTTGTTCAGAAAAGACTGATTTAAACTGTACTTGTGTTTGAATAACTACTAAGAAAGCTCATTAGCAGTCCTTAATTAGTAAACTAAGGTTTGTATGGACTTTGTGTGTGCCGCGTTCTTTGTGGTCCGTAGCTGGGGCAGAACACTAACTAAATAATCAAGGTTAAAACTAGCCAAGATTAATGTGTTATACGAATGTAGTCTTTATCTCATGAATTCTTTAATTGACCCATTCAATATGTTACACAAACATAGAAAGTATAGAATGCCATTCTCAGCTATCAGTGGGGGCAGCGTAAATTGGGTTGACATTGTTTGAGTAGAATATACGGCGTTAAATCAGAGTTCCCCCAAAGTCATGCTAAACTGGAACAAATTAGCATGTAACCAACAGGGACTAGAGGACTGTACAGGGTGTACGCTGTACAATTTCACTATCAAGCAACACTCTTTGGAGCTCAACGCATTTCCCCAAAACTAGGAACTTACCATAGCCCAGGACTGGCATGGCCTGCTGCAGACAAGAGGGGGCCTCTTCAGTCTTCATCCTCCAGATCTGGCAGCAGCAGATGGGCCTGTCAAAGAGAAGCTAGTCATCAAAAAAGGAGCGATAAGGAGAGACAAACTAGCTTATGCTGTCCTCAGATAGAAGAAAATGTTTATTTTCCATAAATCCATCTTCAACCTGCCAGCTAAGAAACTCCAAATGGGGTAAATAATCTAGTTAGTTAGAGGCTGTTTTGGATTTTGGAACGGGACTGTCATCATTTGTTTTCTAGCCTCATAACTTGTACGTGTCTCCAAAAAATTACATCAGGGATAGACAATCTACAGGCAACATATCATGCTTGACTGCAAAAAGTTCAGCCCTTGAAATGCTTGAAAGGTCTACAGCAGTGGTAAAATCCAATTTTTTTTACTACCGGTTCTGTGGGCGTGGCTTGGTGAGTGTGCTTGGCTTGATGAGTGTGGCTTGGTGGGCGTGGCAGGGGAAGGATACTGCAAAATCTCCATTCCCACCCCACTCTGGGGCCAGCCAGAGGTGGTATTTGCCGGTTCTCAAAATTTCCACTATCGGTTCTCCAGAACCTGTCAGAACCTGCTGGATTTCATCCCTGATCTACGGCAATCTGTGGACGCTATCGCAATACAAGGCTGCCAATGATTTCCCACCACCACCACCAAGTAAACTTTAAATAAGTTTTTTTTAACAGCAAAAGCAATTTAGCAGTGGGACAAATTTCTGAAGGAAGTAATGAGTTGCGATTTGAAGCAGAAGCTGGACAACTGACATACTGAAGTGAGATGGGCAGCAAACAACTCAAATAAAGAAATAAAATGTCTTTGCTCAATTTCTTGCATAAAGCTAGACATCGGACTAACTAACCTTGATTGCCTTTTTTATCTCCATGATTTTATAAACCTGCTATTTATAGATGTGGGCTTTGGCATGTTTTTATTCATGTTAGAGGAATCACGTGCTATACTTAAAAGCATAGGAGCAGTCCCACACTTTTTCTGATCAGTTGGCAATGCTCTCTCAATAGTTCTCCAAAGTTGTCACTGGACCATGGTGTTATTTTTATCACTGTATAATAAAGAGAAAGAGAAACTTCTTGTATTGTGTTAAACCATAATGTGATCTCGGGTTGTTGTTTTTTTTAGGTTCTCTAAAGTTAGGGTGTTGTGTGAATCTAGGCAATTATAGTTATGGAACAAATCTTAGTCTGTGATTTAGAGTGATGAGTGAATTCAGTTAATCAGCTCATGGTCAAGGTAAAATCCATATAATTCTTATTTCATAACCATTTATGGTCCCTCCACTCTATAATAAACAAATATCCTCACTTTTCAAAAAACATGTTTGCAAAAGATAGCATCAAAGACATGTTACATGGTTGCCTGGGAGATATTAAAATGAGATCTTCATTAGTTTTTTAAAGAGTCAAATGGGAAATTTCTAGCTGTAAAAATTAGTTTCCAGTGTCAAATGAATTCTGATTGTGATTATCTTCCTTTTACTTGTTTGTAATATTCTAGGCCTGAGCCTAAGGTTAAATCAGAATTATAATTGCTGTAACACAGGACTGCAGGTGTAAAGAATTCAACTGTATCCAGCAAGTTCTTGCCATTGTAGAATTATTAGTTTTTGTTTCTTTGCGAATATCAACATCTTTCCTTCGCATATTCCTATTTTTCTGGAGTCCCCCCCCCCCAAGAGCCAGAGCATTACAGTAATAGGAGGTGAGACAAATACAATAAGTCTACCTTTCTATGAATTAATACCTCCCCAGATATGTAGTAGTACAGTGCCCATCGTCCCTAACCCTAAGACAAGCAATAACCATAGTGTCTAAGAATTATGCCATGGCTAACAGAGGTGGACTGCAACGCTCTGAACCACCACCGAGTGACAGTGAAATTTCTTCCACTTTGCTGCCATCTAGAGGTTTTTTGGATTTGTGCAGCCCAGATTGTGGCTGCTAACATTGCTTGTTGTCTTAATGCCCAATTAAGTAGCTGGCTGGTGAGAAAAAGAGGACTGACCGAGCCCTCAGAGACCATACTCACCACAAAAATGTGATTCTCACTTCCCTTTTGAACTGTTCTGAAGGAGCTGGTATATGCGCACTCTCTCTCCCTCCCCCCCCCTCTCTCTCTCACACACACACACACACTGCTCTGTGGCTATTGGCTTTTTGTAATGTTTTAGGACAAAACGTTGATACTGATAGTTGGGTCTTGATTAGGGCAAGTTCTGGACATCCTATTAAATTAAAATGCACTATGCAGTTCCAGTTTTTGGCTTGTATAGTAAGGTAGTAATGTAAATAGAATGAAATAATATAGTAATTATTCTTTGCTCCTTGTTTTAGGTGTGTCTCTTTGTGGGAAAACGGCAAAACCAGTGGAGTAGCTCAGGCAGGAATGCTTCATTTTGTAGAGGTAAGCCATTTAAAGGGAATTCTTGAGTGTACCAACATCAAACTCCATTCAGACACACTCTACACAAATTAAGCAAAGGAAAGGGGCAGAACTGAACAGGAAATCACTCAGAGACACAGTCTCTTCTGTGAGGCTTTGAACTCATAGAGAAGCATTTTCATTATTTGAAGTTATTCCTCTGGGCAATAACTAATCCAAATGAAATTGACTTCAAATCTATACCAAGGACCCAAACTCAATATAATGTTTGAATCTGAGAGTGAAATATGAAATTAAAACACAGTTAACTTATTTGTGGCTTAGAGATTTGTGAACCCATTTAAACATGGCTTGTTCAGTAAACATGGTTAAGCCAGTCCTGGCTTAGTCTGTTATGTGAACTCAGCTCCAGAATCCTTGCAATTCCAATAACCAGGAAAGAAACTGTATTCCTTTAACTGCAATCTTATTCCCATTATTTGGGGGAGGAGGGGGGAAAATATCTGTTTAACTCAGTGGAGCCTACTTCTATGAAATGCATGCTTTTCTGGGAAACCACATAGGATAATTCCTGTGGAATTACACTTTCCTGCAGTTCATCTTTGAGAAAACCTGTATAAGTCAGTGGTGTTCGCCCAGCCAGACAAATGTCTATGGAGATTCTCAGTCATCCAGATCATAGCTGTCCCAAAGGTGTTTTTTAAAAAGGCAACTGGACTTTTCTTTTTTAATCTCGAAGATGTTTTGGAAGAGAAGGGAAACGTCTTCAGGGCAAAAAACTAAAATCCAGTTGCTGCTTTAAAAAAAAAAAAACATCTTTGGAACTCCCAATCAGACAGGCTTTAGGGACATATACTGTAAAAATATTTTTTTAAACCGTGATGATTAAATGAGGTAGCAGAGAAGTTGAATAATTGATTGGAGGGAGAGAGAAAAAAAAGAAAACCTGACTAGGACGTGGGGTAGATAAACTTGAGGTTGAAGGAGATTACACGATTGTTTCGGTGAAGACCCTAATGCTTGCTGCTTCCATCCGATGGTGGCACTTACACCTCTCTACGATCGCTTGTCCCGTTCACGATTCTTTTATCAGTGCGATGGCTAAAGTGATAAAATAAATAAACAAACAAGGGAAAAAACCAAGACTTGGTTGGTCCCTTCAAACGCTGCCCCCGATCGCCAACGTCGTCCAGAAATGCCCTCCTGCCTAATGATTCGGCTCTGGCGAATCCGGCAACCGGGAGTGCGGGGAGGGGAGGGGGGCTGCGAACGGTGAGAGCACCAACGTTCCAACGGAAGTTTTCACTTCAAAGGCGGAGAATTTCACTTGTGCCGCCAGGGTTCGAATGCGCCGAAGCTCGTAACGGGCGAAGCTTTGGCTGTTGGGAAGGCTTCGCGCTCGGTGGACAATCAAAGCCGTTCTAATTATTTTTAAATTAAAATAAATACATTAATAAGATCTTTTCAAAAGCTTTGGGCTAAATACTTAATTCTCTTCCTAGCAATAACAGCAACAACGAATTAAACTCTCTGGATGCCGTTTGTAAAGGCTTTTCTGGTAACAGAAACTTGGTCAGATAAGGAATGGTAGGTTTTATGTTTTTTCCCCTCCCCATTCTGGATAAATTTAAACAAATGGCTAAAGTGAGGCGTTTGTTTTTTTAAAAAAGAGATTCTGTGATATTTTAGCACGCTTGCAAAATCCGCGGGTAAGGCTAAATTTTGTGTCTTTGCAACCTTCCTGTTTCGAATTTAGGAACCCATTTGCTAAATGCGAGTTTGTTGTGACGTGGTTATTCCATGTTTCTGACCTGGGTGGCTTTTTATAGTAAATGCAAGGATTTTTTTTGTCGTTAAATATTTATATTTCAAAACTTCCTTGAAGATGCTTGAAAAGAAAGAAGGAAAGAAGAAAGAAAGGAAGGAAAAAGAAAGAAAGAAAGAAAGATAGAAAGAAAGAAAGAAAGAATGAATTAGGCATTATGTAAAATAATGCCAGGCTGATGTGAACGATCCTGTAAATTTTAAACACCAAATAAATAGATGTATGCAAAAGCATTTTAACTTAAGGTAAACGATTGCATTTGTTTATATACCTAAACTTATTTTCACCCATATGACATGCTTTGTAGGAGAGCCAGAGCAAATGATATAAAATAAAGAGCTGATGAGACTGTTGGGTTAGGTTGGTTCAAATTCCTACTTTGGAATGAAATTCTTTGATAGTTCAGATAGAGGATATTCTAGTCTGCTTTAACAAGCTGAGTGGATAAAATAGTTTGAACTATTTGAAGGAAAACTAGACATAAATATGTCCAAATAACATTTTAAAATTAATTAGAAGCCATTTATCCAAATGAAAAGATATCCATGAAAAAAAAATCGAACAAATAATAAGAGACACGAAATAAGCTGCTTTCTTTCCCAATTCATACTAAATATATTTTCTGTCCAAATCCCATTTCCCTTCAGCCCCGCTGGTGATGCTTATATTTGTCTGCTTAACTATAGTTTGATGACTAGGTCACAATTGGGTGGGATCATACATGTGGCACTAAGCCAAAAAACCGTGCTTTACCAATCACAATAACTGGATTTACATTCTAAACCAAAAACCCATTCCAGTTTAGCAAAATTTATGAAAACAGTTCCTGTCGCTGCAAGCTTTGATGAGACTGTAAAACAACCTTTTATATTCAACCTTCCTTGCAAGCCAAGCCTTTCAGACTTGCTAACCCAATCGGTTTAGGCAAGAGCTTAAAGTCACCTCTGAGCTTTCTCCCGCGGAAACTTCAACCACTTAATCCAACAGGTCTAGCTCTAGCGGGAATCCAAAGGTTGGTTTTGTGGCTACAGTAAATTTAACAGAGCCATCTCTCTTGCATTTTGCATCTCTTGAATGCAAAAAGGGGGACAGTTTGGGAGCTTGGCTTTATTATATATATAATAAATATATGCTTTATTTTACACACATACATATTCATATTCATATACATATACATACACACACACTCACACAAAATGTTTGAGGAAAACAAAGAATTTTGGAAGCCCTGGAACATTTTGATGCAAGCATGAATACAATGCATAATAATTCATTCCTCTTCGTCATCATCATCAAATAGCCCCTAGAAATGTTCAAACATGTGTAGGAAGGAAGATCTGTGCTGTCCCCGAGGAACATTTCCCACAGGTTTTTCATCCCCCACCCCCCAGGAAGGGAATATTTAGTGATCTTTGCATGAAAGGGTAGCAAAACCTCCTCCCTCCCCTCCACCCTGATTCACTGACTATCAAATCTGGATGCGTGTTTTTTTTTTTTTTTAAAAAAGAAAGGAATAATAAAAAAAAAGCCCAGTCGTTTGCTCTTATTTCCAGAGAGAACCTTCACTCAATTTGCCAGATGGGCGGCTAGGGTCAAATTGACTTGCTTTGGAAAACTGTGCCCAGCGACTTTTAAATCCCAGTTAAAAATGCTCAGAGAAGACCAAAGGTAGGATATGTGCACAGCCTGGTGGGAATAGGGATCTGTTTGGGCCTTAGCCGTCCTACAAAAGATGTGGGGGAAAATATATAGTGGTGGTACAGAGGAGTTATTGTTCAGGACACTCGAAAGTGGTGTTACGGTCTCATTTATCGCAATATGCAATAACAGGTTATGGGCCAGGGAGAAAACCGACTACCTAATGCAAAATCAAAAATAGGCATTCTGATTGATAGGTCGAGATCTTATCTAAGCCCTTGAAGGAAATGCTGATTAATTAGTTTAAGCGGCCATCAATTATTTCCCATTAAAGCTGCTTCCATTTTGCAAATATGAGAAGCAAGAATAAAAGCTGGCCAAAAAAAAGAAGGGCTGCCCCGGAACTTACTCGAAATTGTTGTGAGATTTAAGTGAGGAGCCGCCACCTAGAATTCCTCCCACCCTCCGCAAAGCAGTATATGTCTCGATATAGATATAGATGTAGATGTAGATGTAGATGTAGATGTAGATGTAGATGTAAATTAGATTAGATTAGATTAGATTAGATTAGATTAGATTAGATTTATAGATGCACGCACTTGTATGGCAAGCTATAAATCAACCGTCCCACACTTTAGGAAGCATCTCAAAATGTATCTACCCCTCGGTGAAAACATCGGCAGCCGCCTGCAAATTCCGCTCGGAGAAACGGTGGACCAACCATTGCCGAAAAGGCGGCGTTGGATTGCAATCTTTACGGGTTAAGGGCGTGCATTCCTACCCTTATTTACCCGTGAGCAAGCCCCTGGCAGTCAGTAGGACCTTCTGCTGAGGAGACTTCTTACTGAGCTGCACGGTTCTCCTTCAACCTGTATCCCCGGAATAACTGTTACTTTCAGATGCTTTTGGCTGTATCAAGATACTCACAAAAAGAAAAACGATACACCTGTTTGATAAAGTTCCCCTGAGTGTTTCATTCTCCCCCCACCCCAATCCCGGGGCTAGAAGAGAAAGGTTTGACTTTGAAGGAAATGAAATATTCTTCTTCCTCTCTTATAACTCAAATGGGGTTAGATTTTCCATTTCTCCCCTGACTAGCAACCAGCCTTTCGAATTCACGTATCCTCCTCCCCCACTTAGGGTTAAAAGTCCCTATACGTTTTTCCTCTCTGTCCATTTCCCCCCGCCCCCCTCCCGCTCCCGGTCCACTTTCCCCCTAAGTCCACCTTGTACAACTGGAAAACTTTCTAGGGGTCTTTTAATTTCAAGAGTGGAGGTTGTGGCTGAAATTGTTCGAGGGCTCGAGGGGCATTTTGGAAGTACTCAGCTCCAGCGAGGTCCCTGGAAATGCACATTGCTTGCCCTGACGTATTCAATTAAAATAGTTCAATTCCGCCCTACCCTTCATCCAAAAGAACTAAGAATTAGGAGCATTTAAAAGCGCGTACATTTCAAACAAACGATTTGCAGAAATAAGACCCGTCCGGGGATGGGGGGTGGGGGTGGGAGGACGACATAACCCTAAGACCAATAACCATGTTCTAGCATGGCCGGGCAACTTGGTTTACACACTGTTTTAAATATGTGCGCGATTTATTTGGGAGCGATCTTCTCCCTAAGCAGTGCGGCTTCTTCCGACGAAACCTGGAATTTACCATAGATTGTGTGCCCACGGGCATGTATTAAAGACCGCTAGACCCCCGCGGAGCAATCCCATAGGCTTTAATATAGCGTCCTGTTTTCCACAAGGGGTCAAATGACCCCGCCTTCTTTTTGGAAAGGAGGGAACTCGCCCCTTCTATTATTCTCCAGCGATTAGGATTGCTCCCTTTGCAACGGGGCGTTCCGCGAAGCCAAGAAGAAGAGGAAGAGGAAGAGGAAGAGGAAGAGGAAGGAAGAAAGAGAAGGAGAAGGAGAAAAAGGAGGAGGAGGAGGAGAAGAAGAGGAAGAGGAAGAGGAAGGAGAGGGAAAAGGAGGAGGAGGAGGAGGAAGAAGAAGAAGGAAGAAGAAGGAAGAAAGAGAAGGAGAAGGAGAAAAAGGAGGAGGAGGAGAAGAAGAGGAAGAGGAAGGAGAGGGAAATGGAGGAGGAGGAAGAGGAAGATGAAGGAAGAAGAAGAAGAAGAAGAAGAAGAAGAAGAAGAAGAAGAAGAAGAAGAAGAAGAAGAAGAAGAAGAAGAAGAAGAAGAAGAAGAAGAAGAAGAAGAAGTAGTGGAGGAGGAGCTTTTGGTACCTCGAACTATTACGATCGTCCCCCCCCCCCGCCCTCTTTCTGAGCCGCTCGAGCTAGTGACCAACCTATCCCTGCCTTGTGAAAGGGAAACCCGCGATGAATTCTGCACCTTCTCCCGTTGGCTGGTACCTTTGGAGAGCCCCGAACGAGGAAGAGGGGAGGCGCGCAATTTCTCCATCCAGTTTACTCACAGGGCGCCAGCTGTAGGTCTCTCAACCGGGCAGGCTGAAATCCACGGACTCTCTCCCACCCCCACCCCCCACCCCACTCCGCCTACACCCCTTATAATTAAGTAAAGTTTCTAACGGTCATTAACTCCCTTGGGGGAGGGAATCTCTCGAGCCCATAAGTCATTTCTACGTGTGTGTGTGTGTGTGTGTTTGTTTGTGTGTGTAAGATTAGTCACATCTGATTGTAACATACAAACTAGATTGATTATCCCCGCTCTCGTCCCCCCACCACCACCTCAGTCACCCACCCCCGTCAGCCATCCTTCCAGCGGTTCGAAACCCAGAGAAGGGAGCTTTCGGAACAAGCGCTCGTCCCTCGGCTCGCCAACCTTCCCACTTGCGGGGTTCGTAGTCCCAGCCTTGAACTAACCGCCAAGGTGGAAGCGGGTGGAGAGACGGGAGAGGAGAAAACTGGAGAGACTGCAACCCCCACATCCCCCCTTCCCGCCTCGCCAGTCCACCATTCCTCCTCCCGAGGCTGCCTCTGGAACCTCTTTTAGATCCCTCTTCCCACCCGGCCGCCCGACTCGCAACCTACCGAGCTCTGGCGCTGTTTTTCCCTCAGCCGGTCCCGTCTGCCTTCAGCGGCGGCGGAGAAATGGAGAGAGGAGGAGGCGGAGGAGGAGAAGGAGGCGGGGGAGGGGGAAGATGAGGGGGGGAGGTGGGGGCTTCCCCCCACTATTGTCTAAAGCGGGCATTGGGGGTGTGTGTGGAATTCAACGTGAATTCTCCAGACAAAACAAGTGGCGCGTTGGCAGGGATGTCTAGGAGCCCCTCCAGGTGCTGATACCCCCACCCCACCCCACCCCATAATGCTACCTGTCATTCTGGAAGCCCGGGAAAAGAGGGCAGGCAGCGCTGGCCGCGTTGGATTGCAGAGCCCACTCTCTTCCACCTCGATGGGAGGAGAATAGAAGCAATCAGGTGTTGGATCCAGGCTTGTTAGGGTTTTGGGAATAAATTCCCTCCTGAAGACCTTCCCTAGCACGCTTAGGGTTCAGAGTTCCTAAAGTGGAATTTGACCCAGAAAGCAAACTCATGGAAGTAGAGCATTAGATGCAACCTCCCTGTTTTGATGGGGGTGGAGAGTGTGTGTGGGGGGGAGTTTCTTCCCAATTACAATTGCAACGATTTGTTTACCTAAACAACAACAAGTGAAGTCTAAGAATCGGAGAAGAGAGAGGAGAGAGACAGAGACGTAGATGGAGATGGAGATGGAGATGGAGAAGGAGATGGAGATGGAGATGGAGAAGGAGATGGAGAAGGAGAAGGAGAGTAGAGTGGAGGAAGAAGGGAGGAAGGGAGAGAGAGAAAGAGGAGAGAACAATGATTTCTTACAAATGGTTTAAAAGGCTCCTGAGCTTTTCAGGTAAGCAGTCTAGAGTCTGATCAGATGTTCCGGAATAGGCTGTGGAACATGGACTCCTGCCTGGAGTACACCACATAATTAGAACCAGAGCTTGGAGAACAACTGACCCAGACAGGCAAACTTGAACACAAATCGTTTTGTATTCTACACTTATGAGAATATCAAAAAAGGGCAAAGTGGCCTTTGGCAGTGTCAAAGGTTTTTTTTTTTTTTTTTGCTTTAATTTATATGCCGCCCTTCTCCGGAGATTCAGGGCGGCTTACAATGCGTTAAGCAATAGCCTTCATACTATTGTATATTTATACAAAATCAGTTTATTGCCCCCACAATCTGGGTCCTCATTTCACCTACCTTTGAAAGGATGGAAGGCTGAGTCGACCTTGAGCCTGGTGAGATTTGAACTTGCAGTAATTGCAAGCAGCTGTGTTAATAACAGTGCTTAGTCTGCTGTACTACAGGCTCTTATTAGTGTTTTCTATGTCCTTCACCACCACTTAACATCAGATTCAGTTCCTTTCAACCTCATGGTTTTGAAATACTGACAATATGGTGGAGGAGCAGTTTCATGACAAAGAGAAAAGCCCTTTAACTTCAACTGCATACTGATATATGATAACTTCAGCTGCATATTCATGGGAATACAATGTGTATACAAATATTAATTAACTGGGCTTCTTACAAATCAGGGACTGTTCTGACATATTGTTCTAAAGCACTTCTGCATAAAGAAGAGACAAAGGCACCATCTCATAATCGTGGGGAATGAAACCAGGTGGGCCAGGGATATTTTTAATCTTACAGTTTTGCTTGATGTTGTCCGGCCCTCAACCTCTTGTAAGTCTACAGTAAATCATCCACAAAGCTAACCACGGATCTTAATATCCTTCTAAACCAAAAACACAGCCTCCTCCAGAGGTGATTTGGCTGGCCTCCTGCAAGGCTGTGAAGACCATTCCTCCAGGCACCCGGGGCCAGGATATTAACATTAGTCTGCTTGTTAGTTTGTTAATATGACTGTGTTTGTTATGCTCTAATTAAGATATTTTAGGGGCTGCAGCCCCTTTTCTTTAAAGAGTGGTGAAATTGGTTTTGTTTTTATTTTGTTTATTGCCCAGAGTGCCTTTGGTAGATGGGCAGCCATATAAATATACTAAATAAAATAAATAAATAAATTTTGCCCCCAATTCCTCCCAAACATCCTATTTCTGCTTCCTTAGGATCTCAATCATGCCTGCTTTTACAAGATTTCATCACTGTTATGGTCTGATTAGTTTGTCTTAATTGATCCTGAGTGGGCATTCTTACTTGGATCATGTTTTTCAAGAATCCCAGCTGCCATATGGGATCAAGTAGTTCAGACATTTGCAGTGAACCCATTGATGAGCTAAACATCAAATCTTTATTTTCTCTTCTGGATTTCTAAAAATACAGCCTCCCTGGTAATACATCAGTGTTCAAGTATGTGCTGATCATACTGCATATATACACACATATGGATACATGCAGGGAGCAACCACAATTTGATTAGACAGCAGTCTTGGAATCCTTCAGTTGTATTAACTCTCTTTTAATGACCCTGTATTCCTTTAATTATTTGGGGTAGGATCAGGGCAACTGAATGGAGGTGAGCATTTACTGGCCGGATGCCCTTCCTGACTCCAGGTGGAGTTCTCAGCAGATTTTTTTTTTCTTTGTGTCCTAGGAGAGAAATATCTACCACTACCTAGGATGGAACTCTCAACCTTCCAATTGGGAGGCGAGCGCCTTCACCACTAGGCCACCACACCGCTCTCTTCAATTCTATTAACTGATTCAGTAGAAATCTTTCTGATTGGGCCAGTGAATTTCTTCCTGGGTGAAATGCTTCATCTCAACTAGAGAGACGAGTGGCCTTTGCCACTCTGTTTAACAGGCTTTACTGGCTTAAATGTGTGTCTATGTGGAGGGACAGATGTCCATACAAACATTTCCATCTACTTCAGAAGATCCTGTTTATGATATAATAATAGAGTAATATTGCTTCCTTTTTTTTTTACTGGCAGAAGGATGTATCATTTTGCATTTGCTGGGTTGTTATAAAACCTATATTGCCTAACCCTGAACAAGGCATATTTACTGGGGGAGGCTGATGGGTGTGAAGAAGAGGTATCTTCGGATTTTTTCCTGAAAGGCCTCCCATTTCCTGAATTTTGAAACTCCCAACCTCCTAACCAGATGCCCTAACTGAAAACAAACTAAGACTGAGATTGGAAAAAGGGGAGCAGCTGGAGGATGTTTATAGAAGAGCAGCAGTGGGTGCCAACCCATTTGCAACCCCTCCCCAATTCTCTCCTTCAAATGCTGGTTCTGCATCTCTGTTTATATTCTGAGAGGGCAAAGTTTTGTAGACACATCTTTACTGAGAAGTTGTTCCTGAACAAGAAGCGCACGTGTGCACCCACGCACACACTAGACAGGGATAAACTTCACAGTTGTGATATCCACAGAATTTTTATTACCCAAATCCCAAGATTCCCCTGCCACAAGCAAAATAAAGCACACAGCAATGACTTTGAAATGATGCCCGATCCGTGTTCCATGTCATGGGGTTTGTATTGGGACGAGTTATGTATAAAAGTAGAACAGCGGACTGAGATTTCCTGTAATGATCAGGGAATTATTATTCACTGGGGATAATCTTTGGTGAATCTTTTTTGTACTCTTATTACCATCACTACCTTGGCTTGGTGCTCTTCTGCACTGGAATGATTGTGGATGAGAATTGTAGGGCTGATGAGTATCAATACATCTGGAGGGCATAAGATTGGGGAAAGTGGTGGGTTGCTCCCAGTTCAGTCCGATTCTGGCTCCACCCACCGGCCACGATGTCATCATGGATGATCTGCGCATGTGCAGAAGCGCATGCGCGTGCTCCCATTGTGAACCCATTGTAGTAAAGCTAAGTGGAACTCACCCCTGGTTGGGGATAACCATGTTGAAAAAGTCTCACATTTTTATTAGTCGGCTGCAAAACACTGCTGATTTACTTTAGCTAGGAAATCTGAGAGTTGTAATCCTAAAACATCTGGCTCTGACAAGTGCTGAGACAACATCTCCATTGCCTTATCTCCTGCAGTTTTTCTGGGCCAGTGTGGCCCATACAATCCACTTTCACAGATGGTCTTCATGATGCCTTTGCCAGCTTGTGAGAATGCCAAAATGTGTGTGCGTGCCTATGTTTTCCTTTGCTGTGAAAAATCTGGCATTTTGGCATCTGATATACTATACTATCAGATACCATATTTGGACTATGAAAGATAGCTCTTTCCTACCATAGTCCCAATATGTAAGGCAATCTTCCCTTGCTATTATTCAAGAATAGATATAGTTGCCATGCCTATTCTTTTTTGGTCGATTCATACTTGTTTACATCAGAGGTGTCAAACTCAAGGCCTGGGGGCCAGATTTGGGCCACAGGGTGCTTAGATTTGGCCCACAGAGCGGCCCTGGAAACAGCAAAGGACCAGCCTATGGTGTCTCTGCCAGCAAAAATGGAGCAGCTCTCTTGAGCTCCATTTTTGCTGGCAGGGGGTTGCAGGA